GCTAAATTTCACTAATCTACCTCTCTATATTCGAAGCTTACAAATATAATCCAAACAATAGTTATACTTTTTCACAATGAGAAAATAGCACAATTGACAAGATGAAAGCTTAATTACCCATATAAAATTCTTCACACTATGAAAATATCACAAGTTAGCACAGCAAGTTCATTCCCCGAGCTGACTATTCATCACATTCAGAGAGCTCTTAGCATATGCATTTTTTTTAGAGAACAGCAAAAGAAAACATAAAGTAAAGGCAACAGTTATAATTCCAGCAAAAACATTGGATATTCATATGGTTTAGCATCATTTCCTCCCTCCCCTCGTCAACATAAGAATGGGGCTAATGGAAACTCATATATGTGAATTTGTTACACTTTGCCAAGCTATATAAGTGTTTGGCTGGGTAAATAGCAAAGGCATCTTTTCTAACCCACCTATAAGAATCTTTCTAGCAAATATAGCACATAGTAAGAACATGGTCTTTGAACCAAACAAAATTTTTCCAATTCAATTGTTGTTCAAGAGAATAGTTCAAATAATAAAATGGCAAAAACAGAAAAGATACGAGGAGAAAACATAAGGAGCCGCAAAACGACAAGCTTCCTTTAACAGGTGTTTCCAAGCCTTCAACCACCAAAACAAGCTAATGAAACACCGCAGACATGCATAATTTGATCCCAAATCTGCCATAGGATACAGATCCAGCAGATCTCCAAGAAACTCATGAATATATCAACAAACCAATTCAACTAAACGTGGATAGAACCCAATCACAGAAGCCAAAAATAGGGAAAACTACAACTTGGATTGACAATGCCAATTTGATCCCAAATCTACACGTTCATTTCGGGTAAGAGTAAAATGAAGTAATATTTCGTGTGCCAAAATATCTATAGCAATATTTCAGGAGCCGCAAAAACTGCAATAAGAAAAATGACAGAAATAGGAATTAGATGAGAAGGAGAAAACGTCAGGAACCGCAAAATCGCAAAAATGACAATCTTCCATTAGCAGACGTCTGCAAATCTTCAACCACAAAACAATCTCTAATGTAACACTGAATACATGCTTAAATGGTCGCAAGATCTGTAACTTGGATGGACAATGCCAATTTGGCGCAAGATCTGCAATTTGGATGGACAATGCCAATTTGATCCCAAATCTAAGGGTTCTATTCAGGTAAGAATAAAAAGAAGTAATTTCTCTTGTGTCAAAAGATCTACCTAAAGCCATACTTCGTTAATAAGCTACAGATCCACCACAGAAAAGGATGAGAAAAGAAAAATGGTAGAAACAAAAAAGAAATGAGAAGGAGAAAACATCAGGAGCCGCAAAACGCAAATCCTTCGTCAGATCCGCAAAAAAAGAAGAAAACGGCTCGTCTTACCTTAGCTCTGTCGATCGAGGGACGACGAAAGAGGAGAAGGAGAAGGGGACTCGAGGGAAGCAGCGGGGAATCACCTAGGGTGGACGGGTAAAAGCGGGGAAGCAGTGGGGAATTACCGAGGGTAGATGCAGGGAAAAGGGTAAAAATTTAGGTCGAAAGCGGGAGACGCGATAGTAATGTCGCGGCCCGCTTTCGCTCCGTTGCCGCCACCTAAATGCTCGAAGTCGCGAACCAAACACATAACTTTCGCGAAAAGGTGCGGCGAATGCCCGCGCCGCACCTAAAAAGCGCTCCCAAACAGAGTCATAGATTGATTGAAATTGTATACGTTGGTATATTGTAACATCTTTAAACTGTGTAAGAAATAAATGATGGTTTATAATATGTTTTTTTTTTAAATATTTCTGTCTTAAGCTTAGTCAAATGTGAATAAAATGTATGTATAACAAGTTGACTAACACATAGATAACACGTGAATAACATTGGAATAATAAGTGAATACCACGCTGAATAACACTGGATGTGAATAAAATGTATAACAAGCTGACTAACACATAGATAACACGTGAATAACATTAGAATAATAAGTGAATACCACGCTGAATAACACTGGAATAACACGTCGATAATACATGAGTAACACGTTGAATAACACGTCGATAGCACGTGGCTAAGTTACACGTTGAATAACACGTGAGAAACACGACGATAACACGTGAGTAACCCTTGAATAACACGTAGATAACACATCGATAACACGTGGATAGCACGTCAAAAATAAATGAGTAACACGCTGAATAACACGCTGAGTGATATGCTGAGTAACACGTGAGTAACCCGTCGATAATACATCAGTAAGACGCTGAATAACACGTAGATAACAGGATGATAACATGTAGACAACACGTCGATAACACGTGAGTAACCCTTGAATAACACGTAGATAACACTTCGATCTAAGCGTTCGTCATCCAAATTGAATTATGTTTGTACATTTTCATCTGAGACTTGGGCCTCTTGAGAATCACCCTTTTTTGATTCAGTATTTACAGTGGATTTCAGAAGATGAGTCTAAGAAATAATAAATAACATTGTTAAAAACATAAAATAGGAATGTATATCATATAGTACAAATTAGAATGACGTACTTGTACTTACCGAATGAGACAGATTCAAGAACACCCTTTATTGCTCGTTCGACTTCTTTGGGGTCTTCATGGATTGTCTCATCCCCCAAATCTGTGTCTTCTATTTCTCTTATTGTGTCTTCAGCGTCTTGGGTCTGCCCGGGAACATTTGTATGTACAGGATCAAGAACATGCGTAATATCCTTTGTAGGATCAACTTCTTTAGGGTCTTCATGAATTGTCTCATCCCCCAAGAAATTTGTACATTGTTCGTCCCTTATTGTTTCTTCAGCCTCTTGAGCCTGTCCGGGAACATCTATATTTACAGGATCAACAACACCCACATTATCATTTTTTTTGCGTCTTCTTTTGAACTGGTATTGAGATACTGGAGGGTTCACTATCCTCTTCCTTCCACTGCTGCTGGTTTCAAATAATCTCTGTACCAAACCTGTCAGGGTGGACAATGTTCCTACCACAATATTCATCTGTCTATTCATGTCCGTCACTATATCTTGTATATTTAAGCTGACTTGTTCCTGAGATTTCAACATCTCAAATAGGACTCCGAAATCAGGATTCTCTGTTGTATGCCCAGCTACTGGGGTAATATCACTAGAAATTATTTTACCCTTGGCATACGATCTGGATGAAGATGGTCCTACCGTAGTTTCATGGTGTCGGAGTTGTCTTGCAGGACTCGGTGGTCCCTGATCTGGATTAGCGAGCAGCTGAACTTCATCTTCTCTCAAATCTAAGAATCTGTCATTAATCTACAATAAAAATGTATTCATCAAAATCATTGTATGCATTATTAAAAAGCTATTAAACAGAGGTGTCAATAAGCTGCAATAAAAATTAAATGATTTACATGATCGAGTCTCTTGAAGTCTTCATGAATCTTCTCAGCACTCAACCTATAATTGGTTGGCCACCTCAGAATGCGAGGTCTAACGTCAGGTGCAGCAGGAGTTAACAGAAAAGTGTGCTCGTAAAACCATAGTTGAGGAAGTTTTACACCATTAACATGTATGCAAATGTTAATACAACAAACAAAACTTCAGAAGAATAATATTTTAATGTAAACAAAAAATACTTACCGTTAAAAGAAATACAAATCTTTGAATATAGTCGATCGGCTTATTCTGCCTTAATTTCATGGAGGCGGTTCTCACTTGATCAATGATCATTTCACATATGACAGCAGACCAATTAAAGGACGGAAAAACTTGTACATTTACAACAAAAGAAGATAGCTCTGCAGGCACATGAAAATTGCTTGAAGAAAAAAATAAACTAGTTAGTATGAATTTCAAATATAACTGCTCAAATGGAGGGATGAAAGCTCCTTCTGCAAAAAAGTTTGTCAGTTGGTTCTTTATTTGTCTGACATCCACATTTGATAAGGGACATTTTTTCCATGAAACTGACTCTCCTCTGTTTGGCATCCCTATCAGTAAAGCCACGTGGTCAGCATGTAACTTAATCTCCTTTCCACCTATTTTGAAGGCTCCACTCTCATTATACATCTCAGAATATGTAAAGTCATATTTTGAAGGCCCCACTCTCATTATACATCTCAGAATATGTAAAGTCATGACATTGTCTTCGGGATATGGTCAAAGAAATTGAACACCCTAATTTCCTTTAAATTATTAATAGTCTCATCTGAAAACATATCTCGAATTGCATCCAAGGCACCTCTCACTGCAGATGGACGACATCTATAGTTGAAAGTCCTTGCACTCATGATCCTGCAAATTAAAGAAACAATAACACATTATTAAAACCATATGAAGCTGCATTTTAAATGTTATTGATGTGCTATTCATGTGATATGAAGCTCACCATGAGGTGTTACTCTTGTTTATACATCAGTGAGACCTCAATAAAATCTCCATAACATAATAATAATTCAACATAAGTTACTCCGGTGTAATTGGTGTTATCACATGAATAACACATCAGTAACACATCAATAATACAGGAATAACACATCAATTTCATATCAGAAACACATCAATAATGCATAAATAACACATCTAATATACTTCAATAACAATCACAATATCCCTAAACAGAAGCATAACACATCATAAGAAGTAACACATTAATAATACACGCTGATAACACGGGAATAACACGGGAGTAACACGGGAGTAACACAGGAATAACACATTAATAGAACACACGAATAATACGAAATAACACATTATTAGAACACACGAATAATACAAAAATAGCACATTAAATTAATAGAACACACGAATAATACAAAAATAGCACATTAAAGAAGTAACACATCAATAACACATCAAAATACGGGAATAATACGTGAGTAACACACCAGTAACACAGAAATAACACAGGAATAACGCATTATTAGAACACACGAATAATACAAGAATAACACATCAAAACTGTGTCATAGAGATATCTGTTAATCCACCGAATTTGGTTTTATGCAGTAGGGAAATTTCTGTGTTATTTATTCTAAGTCATTGTGTTACTTATGTGGTATTGATGTAGTATTGTTGTATTTTTTATGCGTTACAGGTGTTACTTGTGTGCTATTGATGTGGTATAGTTGTGCTTCCTGTTGTATTACTGGTGTGTTACTTGTGTGATAACCTTGTGGTATTGTTGTGCATTTCATTACTATCGTTTAAATGCATACCGTGATTTTAACGAACTGCTCGACGCCATCGTCACCTTTGCTTGCTTGCCGAAGAATGTCTAGGGTTTTGCAGGTAGCGCTTCGCCGAGGAAGACGATACGGAGACTAAGCCCTCGTAATAGTGTGGAGAAAATGAAATTCCCTTAGAAAATGAATCGGCTTTTTAGAAATTTTCCGGGTTTAGGGTAGGGTCGGGTCGCACATTATCAGAAATTATTTTTTGTATTATTTTTACGTGCTATAATAGGCGGGGTCGGGCTTTCCAAGTGGCGACATTTTATTGGCTACGCACATAGCTTTACATGCGTAGTACTGAGGCAATATTTCTTCCCCCAAGTGGGGTTTATATAGGCAAGGAGGAGCTACAACTTAGCCGGGGCGGTGAACTGAGCGAAAGGGGACGAGAATGGCGACAAAAGACACAGAGGCGTGGTGAGCAAGTGGCGCAGGGAGCAGGTGGAAGCTTTATCAGAGCACGGGAAGAGGGAGGACCACGACCGAAGCTTCGCGACAAAGGAGGGGGGAGTTTCGGCTCGACCGAAGAAGAGGGGGAGCGAGCAGTCTAGGAGCCGGGTGCGTGAGTCGCGGGTCACGAATGGGAGAAGGCAGGATCGGGACAGGAGCTCGCGTGAGGCTCGCTTGCGGGAGAGAAAAGGATCGGGTCAAATGGAGAAGGATTAGGTGTGTGAGTGTGGGATTAAAGATTTAGGGATTAAAAATAAGGATTTTTTTTATTTAAAAAGTGTTGTACGCGGCGCCCTAGCAAAATGAATGTCCTCCCTAGGTAATTTTGATGTTCCGGACAAGAGCGGCGCCCTAGCAAAATGAGTGTCCTCCCTAGGTAATTTTGATGTTCCGGACAAGACGAACGACACAGTCCGTTTCGTCATCCCCTAGTTCGGGCAACCTCGCCAATGATCGGGTAAAAAAAAAACGTGTCGAATTCGGTTTTCGTCAAAATTTGTAGTCGTTATCAATCGTTTCAAAAATTTTATTTAAGATTTCGACAAATAATGGTGCAGGCGATGCGAATTGTGGTAATCAAAAGTGCCGATTCTCCGAATTGCGAAGTTTGTGCGCGCGAAGATGCAAATTGTGCATAAGGCAATCCTAGGGCTTACTAGTCTTATAAGAACTCCTGGTTTCCTCATGTTGGTTTTCAACCTCCCAAGTGTTAGAGACCGATACCACATGCGAAACTCCAAAAGAGTAAAGAAGTAGATTAGATTTATAAAATGAGGCGGTCCCATTTCTAAGGCTCCATGATTGTCAAAGGAAGAATTTGAAGGTTAGACGATAAACCCTATGCAGAAATATGAGTTGGTAGAATCAAAGGAGTACAAAGTAGCAAGGTATCTCTGACGACTGAGGTGGTTTATTAGTAATGTGGTGCAACTGCAGCCTATTAGTCCCTAGTCGATGTACAATACTTGCATTGAAGGTAGAGAAACAACAACATTACAAACATAGTTTAACCCTATAATTGAGCAACAACAATACACCTAGTGGAGCATCCAAACTGATACCACCCGAAGAGAAACCAATCCAAAGTAGAGAAATGGTAGAACCTACCAACACTCCCAAATTCACCCCCATCAATAAATGCTTCAAGTGTCACGGTTTGGGCCACGTGATATTTGTGGTGTTTGATTGCTCAAATAGGAGGACAATCTGCTTCACTGAGCAGAGAGCAATTGAAGAAATAAACAATGACATAGAAGACAATAAAGAAGATGATGATGCAAAGGAGGAGTATTAGATTTCGGCTAATGATGGAGGGAAGCTATTGGTTCAATTGGGTCTGTAAGAGAGGCTCCAACAAGATTAACATTGATTGTCCTATAAAATGACAAGTCTGAGGAGCCAATAACAAAAAAAGGAATAGCCTTGACTGGCTGGGTGGTTGTCACTAAGAACGATCCAGTCTGCTATAAATTTCCTTTCAAGGTTGGTTCCTCTAGGCATACTTGTTAATCAGATATGCCCAGTCGTGTACGAGTGGGAAAAGTAGGTTGCAAATTTAATGGCTCGAGACTTGGTTCGTGAGAATATCCTTCTATGTGTTGTTCCAGCTCTGATTGTGTAAAAAAGAATGACTATTTATTCTATCAATATAGACTTTGGAATGACGTACATATTTCAGAGTTGTCTTAGGTGGAAATGAGCATAGTCTTTGTAGTAGGTCTCTCCCAACCACAACATTGCAATGACTTCATTATAGTGATAGATAAATTCCAGAAACATCCAGTGAAGAAAACGAAGCTCTTCCTACTGAGGAGAATGATGTGAAGCATTGCTACTATCCCGTGACTCAAACGCAGCCGAAGTAAGTGTCTGCAGGAACTATCCCAAGCGGTACCTCGTGATCTCGCGATCCCACCTATGCGAGATCCATGGGATTTCATAATTCCCACGATCCCACAAGCTCGAACAAGAAACTTCGATACAACACTTGCAAGAGGGATATTGCATCCGGAACCCCATCTTTTTACCAATTTTAGCCAATTTCATTTGTTTCTAATTTCTTTCCTATCTGTCTATTTCTAATTAAGTTTTTTCTGTGATAAAACTATTTATATCTTGTTAATTTCTATTTCTTGAGACTTTTGTTTTATTTGACTGTTATGGAGATTGTAATATTTGATTCTCTCCTTTAAGAGAATTGTATTCTCTTTCTTTTGTAAATGGTGCGTCTGTACTTGCTCGGGAACAGGTGGAAAACCTCCTTGTTGCCCGTACCTCATTGTTTCATGGCTCTTCTCGCTTTTTCAGCGGAGGCAGTCGTTGAATGACGCCTATTCCCATTCAAGCACAAGAGACCTTGCATACTTTCATTCTATTACTATTCATTTCTCACCTCCTCGCAAAACCTATTTCCAAAACTCCTTCTAGTACAATATTTCCTATGCCACAATTGGAGGACAGCTTCCAAAACTCCTAGTACAATATTTCCTATGCCACAATTGGAGGACATGTTAAATAAGATCTAAGGTGCCACTATATTTCCTAACGCAGATCTACATAATGGTCATTACCAATCCAAGTACAAGCTGACAAATAATGGCAAACATCATTTAAAGCTAATGAAAGATTCTATGAATATCAAGTTATTTAGCCTATGCAACACTCACCCAATACCTTGATGAATGATGTAATAAAAGCATTCAGTAGTTAGTTCTGTGTTGCCTATTTCGCTCATATTTTTGTTTAAAGTACTTTTTTGGTTCATCATTTGATCGTCTTAAATTGATTCATAATACATAACGGAACAACAAGTTACACATTAGCCTTTTTAAATTGCGAGCTTCTAG